GCCGCGGTGGCAGTCTGGTCTGGACTCTGGTTGGCACTCGCAGGCGGCTTGGCCGATGTTGGAGCTGCCTCTGGCGCTGGTAGCACTTCCTGGGCATGCTCGTCATCCATGATCACGTATCCTCCGTTATCTTCCTCCTCGAGGCGCCCGACGTGAGATATCATGTCCTCTGCTGTCTGCACGCCCTCGAAGAACGCCTACGTGAGGGTGACTGCCTTCTTGTGTGTCGCGGGCGATTGGTCTTCAGCTCTCTGGGCATCACTCAAGCGCTTCCTGATCCTGTCGACGTGCGATTTCTGCTGCTCTGTGCGGGCCTCCGGGTCCCGGGCGTACATATTCGTGTAGAGGGTGACCGCATAGTCCTGCTCGAGCTCTGCAATGCGGGCCGGGCGCTGGCCTATCTGGTAAGCGAAGTTGATATGTGTTTTCAAGTCCGTCGAGACTGCTCTTCAACTGGTATCGATGAGCGATGATATCCTTCTTCGACGTAGGGATTGGCAACCATAGTCGATGCTTCATGACTTGATCTGGTCGAGCTGGACGTGGCAACGATGGCGTGAGTTGTTCCCTCGGTCTCCTGTCTGGAGCATGAGATCTTGCCCGTTAGGGCGTGGTCTTCCTGCAGCACATTATTGCCACCATTGTCCCTGATGCGTCCGAATCGTTGGCCACTGTTGCTCCCCCGTTAGATCCACGGCGGTGATGAGTCTACTTCGTCTGGAATAATGTCTATGCTGTTGTCTGGTTCAGGCACGCAGAATCTGCACTTCTTGCTGGAATGAACGTTCGTCCTCTGGCACCTGATGCATGACCAGTATTCTGCCTGGGGCGACTGGCTTGATGGCTGGCGCTGGACTGCGCCATCGAGCTGTGGTGCTTGTCGAGCAATTCCCTAGCTGCTGCGATGCGGAGGAACGACGCTCTGGCGATCCCCCTCTGCGCTCTCGGGCGGCGGTGCCACGCTGGCATGAATGTGCGGTGCGTGGCGGCGATCGTCCAGACGTTGGAATAGTGGGTCGGCGCGTCTTGCGGCAGTCCCGAAAGGCTCGCAGGTTCTTGGAACCTGCACTCAAGCCCTGGGGCCGGGACGGCAGCTAGGGAAGGAGGTAAGGAGGAGGAAGGAGACAGAAATGAGGAGGGGAGGGGGAGAGGAGAGAAGGGAGGATGGGGATGCCAGGGAGAGCAGGAGGGAGGGGGGGAGAAGCAGGAAGGAGGGAAGCGGGGAGGATGGACAGGAGAGGACAGAAGGAAAGGAGGGCCTCGAGAACAAAGGGGGAGGCCTCGAGCAGGAGAGAGGGGGGAGTGTAAGAAAAGGGGAAGATAGGAGAGGGAGAGGAGGGATGCAAGAATGGGAAGATGACCCGGGAGGGGAGGAGGCGATCGGGACGCGTCTTCCAGGGGCACGGCGGGGACGGAAGGGAGGGCAGCGCACGGGTAGGGCACTGTGGACAGAGGGACCAGTCGCCCCTCTTCTCCGCCTCGGAACGCCAAGGAGACGTGTGGGGCAACACGGGGGGGGAGCCTGGCTCAAGGGGGGGGGGGGGAATGGAGCTGGAACCGGCGATACCTCAGCGATAAGTCGGCGACGAGCCCCCGACCGCAAGATCGCACGCTCCTGGGCGGGTCGGTGATGAATAGGTGACTGGGGGTCGATGCATCCCCCCGTGAGCCTATCCTTAGGTCGGGCATGTCCCCCTACAGGCGGATTTTGGGCGAAGCGAAACATTAAAATATTGAAACAAATACACCACAATGGTCAACACAAATACAATAAAAAAATAGTCCCCAGACTAATTTTAAACCATTTTTGAATATTCCTCCTGTAGAGGGGCAGGCCCGACTTAAGCCTATCCCATCGTGGCCCGCGGTGGCCTTCGGGCCATAATGCGGCTCTCCGGCGGGAATGATACGGGCACCCCCAGAACGCTCTCGACGAGGCGCAGCCGCTGAAGGCATCCCGAGACCAGAAAACCGTCGTGAAGCAGAAAAAGGGGAAAACGGGCGAAGGGTAGCGGCATGGGTACTCCAGATATCATAAAAAGGGTGTGGTCTGATTTGGGAGGGGGTCTGATTTGAGCTGTCTTGGAGGGTCCCGGTGGGGTCTGAAGGCCGCCCCTTCATTGCTGGTCTGGGGGGGGGGCTGAAAACTGCTCGCCTGGGAGGGCTGTGACCCCCTTCCTTTATTACGAAGTTTTGAATACCTTTGGAGGCTTGAAAATTGGCACCAACACCAGCACAGGGGATTGCCTCCACATGGGGAAGATGATCCTAGATTTCGGTTTTGGTGGTAAGATTTCGGTCACCCTGGAAGCCAGAATATTACCACCATCACCGAGATCGTGATCGTCGTCCCTCGGTGGAGGCACACCGCCAATCTTGGTGTTGGTGTCAACCTCTAGGCCTGCAATCCCTTTTCCTCCTCCGACTCTGCCGTCGCAGGAAAGCCTTCTCGCGCAACCCGCGCCCAGAGCAGCGCTGCACGCCGCCGCCGCTCCTGCCGCCCTCCGCCCTCCCGGCTTCCCGCCGCCGCTGCCGCCGCCGCTGGTGCCGCCGCCGCCGCTGTGCCGCGGCAGCTCCTGAATCAACACAGTCGTCGTGCGACCATAAGGAATTCAAATCGGCGGTGGACAAACCTCCCTTTAGTAAACCTCCCCTTAGTGAAAACGGCCTGTGACCGAAACCGACGGACCTGGACCCGCAAAAATGACGGCCGCGACGCCCTCTCGCGAACCGAAAACGGCCAATTCCTGAATCGATGTGTCAGGGTAGGAGGTCTATCAACCTCCGATCAAAATAAGGAACGATGTGGCTTTTCTGGCCACGGCGGGCCTAGGCAACAAACAGGATCCACGACAGAAATCTAAGGAACGGCCCTGGAACCCGAGCCCCTCCTGAGCCCAAAGCGGTCCTTGTTCCAGTGTCTTGGCTGTAACGCCGTGTCTGCACGACACATCGGCTGAAGAAATGCCGCCGGCTGGAAGCGCGTGTCTAGACCAGGGCACAAAAAGCAAGGACCGTTCATGAGAAAGCGTGCCAGCGGGCGACTGTCTTCCCCACAGATGCGGGCCATAGCACGCAGGAATGACACACTGCGACAAATAGCTCTCCTGAAGGCTCCCGAAACGGTGCGGTGACAGACCGTGAGTTGACCTTGGAATCCTCGTAGACCTCATCGCCCGGTCTGTCAGCGCCTCGTTTGGGAACCCTGGAAGCCCTGGTCGCCTGGGGCACTCTCAGAGAAGACGACCCAAGTCCCACAACCGTGCGGTCACTGCCGATCTCCAATGACTCACCCCACGGTGTGGTTACTGCACCGTTTGGGGTTGGAGCCCTCGAACCTCTTTGACGACGACATGAGGGCGAAGGATTGCAACGCTTCGTTTTACGTCGGAGGAGTACCTGTTGGGGGGGGGGCGCGTGGAGCCAGCCGATGGGCGAAAGACAATTAGCCTGGCGAAGGACCCAACCATATGCAACTGTGAATACCGCAAGTGTGAATATCGTTTTCGGCGGCGCTACCTCTGGGTAGTGGAGACGCATGCGAACACCCCCACTGGGGCCTTCGGTGGAGCTCCCTATGGGGCTACGAAACGCTGCCCTGGGTGGGGGAACCGCATGCAGGCAGCCCCACTGGGGCCTTCGGTGGAGCTCCCTGTGGGGCCACGAAACGCTGCCCTGGGTGGGGGAACCGCATGCGGGCACCCCCACTGGGGCCTTCGGTGGAGCTCCCTATGGGGCTACGAAACGCTGCCCTGGGTGGGGGAACCGCATGTGGACACCCCCACTGGGGCCTTCGGTGGAGCTCCCTATGGGGCTACGAAACGCTGCCCTGGGTGGGGGAACCGCATGTGGACACCCCCACTGGGGCCTTCGGTGGAGCTCCCTATGGGGCTACGAAACGCTGCCCTGGGTGGGGGAACCGCATGTGGACACCCCCACTGGGGCCTTCGGTGGAGCTCCCTATGGGGCCACGAAACGCTGCCCTGGGTGGGGGAACCGCATGTGGACACCCCCACTGGGGCCTTCGGTGGAGCTCCCTCTGGGGCTACGAAACGCTGCCCTGGGTGGGGGAACCGCATGCGGACACCCCCACTGGGGCCTTCGGTGGAGCTCCCTATGGGGCTACGAAACGCTGCCCTGGGTGGGGGAACCGCATGTGGACACCCCCACTGGGGCCTTCGGTGGAGCTCCCTATGGGGCTACGAAACGCTGCCCTGGGTGGGGGAACCGCATGTGGACACCCCCACTGGGGCCTTCGGTGGAGCTCCCTATGGGGCTACGAAACGCTGCCCTGGGTGGGGGAACCGCATGTGGACACCCCCACTGGGGCCTTCGGTGGAGCTCCCTATGGGGCCACGAAACGCTGCCCTGGGTGGGGGAACCGCATGTGGACACCCCCACTGGGGCCTTCGGTGGAGCTCCCTATGGGGCCACGAAACGCTGCCCTGGGTGGGGGAACCGCATGTGGACACCCCCACTGGGGCCTTCGGTGGAGCTCCCTATGGGGCCACGAAACGCTGCCCTGGGTGGGGGAACCGCATGCGAACACCCCCACTGGGGCCTTCGGTGGAGCTCCCTATGGGGCCACGAAACGCTGCCCTGGGTGGGGGAACCGCATGCGACACCCCCACTGGGGCCTTCGGTGGAGCTCCCTATGGGGCTACGAAACGCTGCCCTGGGTGGGGGAACCGCATGTGGACACCCCCACTGGGGCCTTCGGTGGAGCTCCCTATGGGGCCACGAAACGCTGCCCTGGGTGGGGGAACCGCATGTGGACACCCCCACTGGGGCCTTCGGTGGAGTTCCCTATGGGGCTACGAAACGCGTGAGAGGTGTGCCGAGAGCAGAGGCAAGGAGGGGGAGGAGGGAGGAGGGGGAGGAGGAAGGAGAGGAACGCGGGGCACCGTCTCTTCAAAACGAGGACCCAACACCACAGGATGGTTGGGAAAAAGGCGGACAGAGGAGGAGCAGCTCCGCTCGAAGCGGGCAGGGTGCGGTGCCTTCCACGAGGTGGACCTCGTCGACGCACCTGAGGAGCAAGTCCTGCGGGGGCGGCGGAGCTGGTGCTTGTTCGGCGCAGGTGCAGCGCCGCCATGCAACCCCTGCCACTGGAGCCGTCTGCGGGTCTCATTCGGGGCCACGATCCTCGTGACGGGTGTACCGAAATGGATGTGGCGCCCCGATGCATCCCCTGCCACTGGAGCCTTCTGTGGAGCTCCAACCGGGGCCACCATCCTCGTGACGGGTGTACCGAAATGAATGCGGCGCCCCGATGCAACCCCTGCCACTGGAGCCTTCTGTGGAGCTCCAACGGGGCCACGATCCTCGTGACGGGTGTACCGAAATGGGTGCGGCCCCGCCATGCAACCCCTGCCACGGGAGCCTTGTGTCGAGCTCCCTGCGGGGCCACGATCCTCGTGAGAGGTGCGCCGTATTGATGTTGATGATGATTTTTTGTTGCAGACGTAGAGATTGTACTCCCCTTCGCCCGGCGGAGGGCGCCGCGGAACGACCTCCGCCACCGCCAGGGAGAGGGCTTCCCAGATTCCCAAGTCCACCTCACCGACTTGAGCGGGAGGGCGCACGCAAGGCTGAGCAGCGCCTGAGGAGGGCAAGTTTCGCTCTGAGCACGCGAAAAATCTGCCTGAACCCGCAGTGGGCCACGCCTGCCAGCTGTACAACGCTCGCGTGAATCGGGCAAGTTCTACGAATGGCACAGGCCGTGTCGAGGTCAACTGTGATCCCAGCCTTGTAAAGAGGAGGAGAAGCAGGAAGACGAGGAGGAAGAGGAAGAGGAGGAAGAGAAAGAGAGATGGGAAGAGGAGAAGGAGCGAGGAGGAGCCAGGATTCCGGGGGGCGCCCGACTGAAACTTAAAAATGTTCGACGACCAAGGTAGAGTGGCCTGGCACAGTACTGCGTCCTTGCAAGACGCCGGGCGCCCGACATCCTTCAAAACTGCTGGGATGTCCTATGACTGACATAGCGATCCGATCCGTCCGTGATCAGCTCTTCGGCCGTAAGACACGGGTCGGCTACCCGACACGATCCGATCGCCGTGCGCTCTCGGAGCGCGTGGCGCAGAGCAGCGAGAATCAGCTCTTCCGAGAGGCTCGGGTGGCCTCTGGTAGGTTCGATCCTGAAATAAAAAAAAGAGAGAGAATTCGAAATCGACCAACGCGATGACGAGGGACACTTCGTCAAGTCGAGCGCGGCTCCAACGCCGCGACGCCGGGCGAGCCAGGCTGCGCAGGCCTCGCGACGCGCAGCGCCGCCGCGTGCCGCGGCGAGGCGCCCCCCCGCGGGCCCGGCGCTCAGAGCCAGCCGGGAGAGCCCGACGAGCGCGACCTGGACCGGGAGCGGGAGGACGCTGTGTGCGCCCTGCGCAGAGATTCCGCGTGAGGCTGGACGGAGCAGACAAAGTTCGGGGACGGCACCCTGTACTCGTGGCCGGTCCAGTCCAGCTTGCCGGTGGCCAGGTTGAAGCGGAAGACGCCGATGCTGTCGGAGTCCTGGTTCGCGGTGATCAGCCACTGCCCAGAGCCGTCGAACTGGAAGTGGCGCGGCGTGGCGCCGCGGGTGTGCTGGGCGTCGACCAAGGACAGCATGCCGCGGCACGCTCGCTCGTGGTGCACCCGGAAGACGGTGATGCTGTCGTGGCCCCGGTTGGAGACGAGCACGAAATTGCCCGCGGGGTGCACGCAGATGCGGCCGCAAGTGTTGCACTCCTTGGGCCAGGCGTCGGGGACCGTGCCGATCGTCTGCTTCAGCCTCAGCGTGGGGCGAGCATCTTTGGCTTCTACTCTGCCAGTGATGAGGTCCTCTGCGGCCTGCGAGTCGAACTCGAAGACAGACACCTCCGAGGAGAGTTCGTTGACGACGTAGACGAAAGGCAAGCTCGGGTGGAACTCCAAGTAGCGCGGGCCGAGGGCGGTGCGTCCGGGAGGACCAGACGGCATGGACCCGGCAGGCTCGAGCGTCGCCTTGTCGTACTTGAACTGGCGGATCAGGTCCATGCCCAGGTCTGGGACGTATGCGATCTTGCCGAAGACAGGGTCCAAGATGACCGCGTGAGAGTGCGGATCGGCCTGACGCTCCTTCTGGGCACCCTCGTCGTTGACAGAATGGTTCACGTGATTATCGTGGCGTGCCTTCATGGGCTTGCCCTCGTTGGGATCGTAAAGCGACCGGAGCCCAGTGAGGCCCCCGGTCCGCCGGTCGATGCCGAACACGCCGATCGTGGCATTCCAATAGTTCACCACAAGCATGTTCTCGCAAGCTTTGTCGAGAGTCAGGTAGCACGTCGACGTGCCCTCCGCGCTGATACTGGAGATCTTGGTGAGCTTGCCCCCGTCTTGTGGCGGTATGCTCCAGGCGTCGATGATACCGTTCTCGGCGACGGACTCGGTGCAAGTGTAGAGCACGTTTCTGGTCGGGTGGAAGCGCGAGAAGGCTGGGTTCATCGTCACGTCTCTCGACACCGAGAGCATCAACATCTGGCCGTCGCTCGGGTCAAGCCGAAAGGTGTAGAGGCTCCGCTTGGCTTCCGTCCCGCGAGGCCCGTGGGCCAAGTTGTCGAAGCGGGTGTAGCAGGAGACAACCACCAGCGGATGGCTGCACGCCGAAGTCCTCATCTGCAGCGGCAGGCCCGTGGGCTGCTGCTGCTCCTCCGCTTCCTCCTGCGAGAGCGCCTCCTGCTCAACGAACGCGATCGCGGGGCCACGTGCCATCGCTGAGGGCCCAGAAGTCTGTGAGCCCTCTCAGTGGTTCGCGCGGGCAGTGGAAAAGAAGCGCGGCCTGCTGCAAAATGCGAAGTGCCGAGTGCCTTGGAATAGCTGGAGCCAAAATGGCTTGAACCAGAATGGCCATGGGTGATGTTGATAATGATAATGGTGATGATGATGGTGATGATGATGATGCTGTTGATGATGGTGATGATGATTATGGTGATGATGATGATGATGATGATGATGATGATGATGATGATGATGATGATGATGATGCCGATGATGGTGATGATGGTGATGATGGTGATGATGTTGATGCTGCTGATCATGAAGGTGATGGTGATGATGATGATGATGCTAGTGATGGTGATGGTGATGGTGATGGTGATGGTGATGGTGATGGTGATGGTGATGGAGATGGTGATGGTGATGGTGATGGTGATAATGATGTCGATGTTAATGTTGGTCATAACGGTGGTGGTGCTGGTAAAGATTAAGATGAAGATGAAAATGATGATGCATTGAATATGATGATGATAAGATGATGAAGATGAAGATGAAGATGATGACGAAGATGATGATGATGATGATGATGAAGATGAGGAGGAGGAGGAGGAGGATGATGATGATGATGGTGTTGATGGTGATGGTGATGGTGATGGTGATGATGGTGATGGTGATGCGTGCGGAGAGTATAGGCAGGGAAGGAAAGAGGCGGAAGAGGAGGAGAAAGGAGGAGAGGGACCTGGGGCGATGTCTCTTAAAAACGAAGACCCAACAACACAGGATGGTTGTGAAAAAACAACGCACTGAAGATATCGCGGACGTCATGTAAGGAAATACGCCGTTGCACTGCGGCGCCATGCGCGCGAAGAAAGGAAGGGGCGCGCGCGCGCGCCTGCTTGCCTGTACTTGGCCCTGGAGACGATCAGCTGCGTCGGGCGGCCACGTTATACGAGAGCGGAAGCGGATACTACGAAACACTTTGCTGGGGTCCGGCTTGCTGCGATGCATGGTCTGGCGCTGTTGGGTTGGGCATGGCTTGCTCTGCTGGGTGGCCTGGCTTGCTTCGACGGGTAGTCTGGTTTACTGATGGGCGGGGTCGGATCTACTTTTGAGTGATCTGGCTTGCTTTGACGTGTGGTCTGGCTTACTTGTGGGACAGGTGTGATATACGGTTGGGGAATCTAGCTTGCTCTAACCGGTGAGTTGTTTACGTTTGGGCGGTTCGGGCTAACCTTCGGAAGGCCTACGTTGATGCGATGGACGGTCTATGTTACTCTTGGGCTGGGTCTGGTCTAGTATTTTGTGGACAGGCCTGTTGTGGCGTGTGGTCTGGTTTACTTTGGGGTGGGGTCTGCTCTACTTTTAAGCGGTCAAGCCTGTTGCGATTGGTGGTCTGGTGTATTTTTTGGCGAGGTAGGGTCTACTGTCGGGCGGATCAGCTTGCTGCGATGGATGGTTTGGTTTACGTTTGGGCGGAGTCTGGTCTAGTCTTGGATGGATTGGCGTGCTCTGATGGGTGGTGTGGTTTACTTTTGGGCGGGGTCTGATCTACTCTTGGGCGGTCTAGCCTGCAGTGGCTGGTGGTCTGGTTTGCTTTCAGGCGGAGTCTGGTCTACTTTCGGAGGCCTAGATTGCTCTCGTGGATGGTCTGGTCTACTTTTGGGCGGGGTCTGGTCTACAATGGGCGGTCTTGTTTGCCTTGTCCGGTGGTCTGGCTTCCTTTTGGTCGGGGTCTCCTTCACTTTTGGGCGGCCTTGCCTGCTGTGATTGGTTGGTTTTGCTTACTCTTGGTCGGCGTCAGGTCTACTTTCGGGTGGCCCAGCTTGCTGAGGTGGGTTGTCTGGTTTCTTTCTGGGCGAGGTCTGGTCTAATTGTGGGTTGTCTCGCAAGCTGTGACGGGTGCGGAATCTGGTCTACTTTCCGGTGACCTAACCTGCTGTGATGGGTGGTCTGGTTTACTTGTGGGCAGGGTCGGGTCTACTTTCGGGACAAACGTGCAGTACAAAGGCAGCGGTTAGGAAGGTATGTGGTGCAATACACGTGGTGTAATACATGCGATGTGAGCTACGTGGTGATTGCTGGATGAATATGGTGCACCCTACGTGGTGCAATTAATGTGGTGGAATATAGGTGCTGCAGTCAATGTGGTGCACCCTACGTGGTGCAACATATGTGGTGCAATGCGTGCGCAGCTCATGTGGCGCAACCAGTGTGGCGTAATGTGTGTGGTGTAAAGTATGTACAATATACATGGTGCTATTTACGTGGTGCAACCTATGCGTAGCAATTAATTTCTGTTCGCAGTGAGTTGTCCACTCGACTGCTCGCGCAAACATCCCACCCACCCACCCGCAACTTGGTTTGCAAAATCTCTTCAGACCGTGACGGTGGGTACCGAATGGCACTTGGCAACGACAGCGACGCCGACGACGACAGCGACAACGACGACGACGGCGACGCCGCCGACAACGACTACGACGACACCGACGACGTCTCCAACGACTTCGACGACGCCGACGACGACGACGACGACGACACCGACGACGACGACGCCGACGACGACGACGACGACGACGATGACAACGACGACGACGATGACGACTCCGACGACGACGACGACAACGACGACACCGACGACGACGACAACGACGTCAACGACGACGACGACGACGACGACGACGACGACGACGACGACGGCGGCGGCGACGACGACGCCGACGACGGCGGCGACGACGACGACGACGTCGACGACGACGACGACGACTACGACGACGACGACGACACCGACGACGACGACGACGACGCCGACGACGACGACGACGACGACGATGACAACGACGACGACGATGACGACGCCGACGACGACGACGACAACGACGACACCGACGACGACGACAACGACGTCAACGACGCCGACGACGACGACGACGACGACGACGACGACGACGACGACGACGACGACGACGGCGGCGGCGACGACGACGCCGACGACGGCGGCGACGACGACGACGACGTCGACGACGACGAAGACGACGACGACGCCGACGCCGACGCCGACGACGACTACGACGACGACGACGACGACGCCAACGAAGACGACGACGAGGGAGGAGGGAGGACGACGACGGCGACAACGACGACAACGACGACAACGAGGGAGGGAGGACGGCGACGACGCGAACGACGAAGAAGGAGGAAGGACGGCGACGCCGACGACGACAACGACGAATGAGGGAAGAGACGACGACAACGACGACGACGACGACGACGACGACGGCGACGAAACAGGAGGGATAACGACGAGACGCCGACGACGGACGACGACGACGACGACGAGGGAGGAGGAGGAAGGACGACCACGGCGACAACGACGACGGAAACGACCACGACGCCAAAGAGGACGACGACGACGAACACGAGGAAAGACGCCGACGACGTAAGCGACGACGACGACGCAGGAGGAGGGAGGACGGCGACGACGACGACGACGACGACGCAAGAGCGCGCGCGCACGCTTTTGTTGAAAATCCGTGTTGCGAAACCTTGTGTTTTTGTAGGTTTTTGAACACACGATTTTGAAATCCTTCCGAAACCGATGGGTTTTGAAGGATTTCGGCATACGCGCGCGACGACGCGCGCGTCTGCACTTCGTCCCATCTTTTGCAGAGGGTTCTCGCGACGGCACACGCGCAAGGGCGTTCGACAGATTTCGACATGCGCGCGCGAAGCCCGTTTGGTAGCATTTTGTGAAAATCTTGACAAACCTATGGTTTTCTTAAGATTTCGCAAGAGCTCGCGAGTAAGCTGTTTTATCAAATCAGTGCTGCGGAACCCTGTGTTTTCGTATGCTTTTTGGAAACTCGATTGCGAAATCCCTCCAGCACCGAAGGTTTTTGAAGGATTTCGGCAAGCGCGCGCGACGACGCGCGCGTGTGCACTTCGTCCAATGTTTTGCAAGGGATTCGCGAAAAAGTTTTTATGTTAGAACAAAAAATGTCACCGCATATTGTTTTGTACAAGGGAATCTCAGGGGGTCGATATCGGCCCCCCTGGGATAGTGTAAATTCATGTTTAGGATGGACATCTGGTCAGAATCACACGTGATTTACACACCCGAAAGGGGTAGCTCCGGGGGGGGGTAGAGAAAGGAGAATAAAGGAGAATGTATGTGATGTCATATATGTGATGTAACTTCTGTGGTGCAAGCTATGCGGTGTAAACGATGTGGTGCAACATGTGTGAAGCACTGTGGTGTAATCGATGTAAACTCATATACATATAATCCTGAATGGCACAACATGGCCTCGGGACAACCCCGGAGGCCTCCAAGACGAGCCTCAGAGCGAGGCGAGATGACGAGGAGAGAGGGGCAGCAAGAACTGGAGGACGGGGGGCATTGGTGCATTCCTGTTTGGAGGCGACGTTGGCACTTAGCGCACGATGCGAACGGCAATCGCCCTACGCTACAATGTCATGCAACCTATGTGGCGCTCGCTGTGTACTGCAAGCAATGTGGCGGAAGCTAAGTGGCACATGCTACGTGGTGGATCTCTTATGTGTAGCATGTGTGCAGTAAGCTATGAGGCGCAAAACATGTGGTAAAAAAAATAACGTTTTCTTCCACGCCAAAGTTGAATCGATAATCCATGCAACTCTCTGGCAACAGGCAATTTCGTCAAGCACTGGGGAAAGCCGCAGCTGCCGCAGCGGTGGCAGGACCACATCCCTGGTGGGTGGTACTGAACGTTCGGGCCACTTCAGGTGTCGGAAAAATCACAGCGACTACATCGGAGGCCACACGACACCAGAGAGGGCTACTACACTGCTACTACACCGCCGGGCCACTTTAGACATCGGGACAAACCGCGGCGACAACAGCGATGGACAGACAATTCCCATGGTGGGTGGTACTACACGATCGGGCCACTTCAAGCACTGAAGGGAGCCGCAGCGACTACATCCGTGGCGAGACTGACCCCCGGGTGGGTAAGACTGCGCGATCGGGCCACTTCAAGCATCGGAAGGAGCCGCAACGACCGCAGCGATGGCCAGACCATATCCTTGGTGGTTTTTATGCTGCTCGGCCGAGACACATCACACGTCTTTCTCACACCCGCCCCCGCCTCACAACCATCGGGGCAACCACCGGGACAACCAGCGGGACAACCACAACCATCGGAATACTTCACGTCGCCACGAAGCAGAGCAAACCCTGAATCGCTAGCGACACATGCCTGGCCACAAGGCTCGTACTTGATCGACAAGATGAGGAATCCCGCAATCATCTGGCTCGGTAAAGATACCTGGTTTCATGCAAATGAGCACGACAAGACGCACCTCTCTGTGCATCCGGACAGGATTGCCCGCGCCAAAAATGCTTGCACCCATTACTGGCACAATTGTATGAGCTGGGCCTCTAATGCCGATTTAGCCAAATGTACCCATCTGTATGCTGTCGTCTATGTGGTGTGAGCTGCGTGGTACCATGCGGGATCTATCGAGCCGTGTAAGGCCAACTATGTGGTGCAAACAACGTGTTCCAATATATGTGGCGTCATCTATGCGGCTCTGTGCTATGCGGTGGTTTACTTTTGGGCGGGCTCGGGTGTACTATTGGGGGATCAGATTTGCTTTGAAGCGTGGTCTGGTACACTTGTGGAACAGGTCTGGTGCACGTTTGGCCTGTCTGGCTCGTTTTGACTGGTGGTCTGGTTTACTCTGGGGCGGGATCGGGTTAACCTGTCGGGAACCTAGCTTGACGCGGTAGACGGTCTGGTTTGCTATTCGGCGGGGCATAGGCTACTATTGCGTGGTCAGGCCAAGTGTAGTGGAGTGTTTCGACGAGTGGTTTTGCTTACGCTGGGAACGGATCTGGAATACTTTTGGGCCGTCTGGCGTGCTTTGATCAATGGTCTGGTTATCTTTGGGCAGGGCTAATTAACTTTCGGGAAACCTAGCCCGATGCGATGGGTGGTCAAGTTTGCTATCGGGCGGGGTCTGGGAAGCGGCTGCTTTTACCTTGGGGCACGGCTCGCTTTGCTTCTGAAGAGCATTCGTATATTCTGGGTAGCGGTCTGGTTGACATCGGGGGCGGTCTGACTTGATTTGGGGTTCAGTTCTGGAGTTTATCTGGGCTTCGGCGCGGCGCGCTCCGGGTCGCGGTAAATCCATGGTTCGGGGGCGCGGGGGGAAACCGGCTATCCGCGCTAAATCTTCTGGAGCATTACCGCCTGGCTGATGTGGCTGAAGCAAATGGTGCAACTGATGTGTTCGATGTGGGCCGGAGACCTCGAAATGTCGCGCTCTTCGGGCCCTCTTGGGTCGCTCTTGGGGCCCTCTTGACTTATCTGGGGAGCCTCCTGGGCCGTCTCTGGGCTTTCTTGGGAGCCTCTTCGGCCGTCTTGCAGCGATCTGAAGGGCCTCTGACGCAGTCCGGGACCGTGGGGAGGCGGAACATGGGAGAGCGCAAGAATGCTTCAAAAACCATTGGAAAATGTATGATTTTCGGCTTCTGGGGCCCTCTGGAGGGGCCTCTGGAGGCGCTCTTGGGGCGTTTTGGCGGCGTCGTCGGCCGTCCTGAGGCCATCTTCGGGGTGTCTGGGGCCTCTGGGGGCTGTCTTTGGGCGTCCTGGGAACCCGGAAATCATGTTCCCGGAGAGGCTTCCAGGAACATGATTTCGAACGAGGCTCTCTTGGGCCTCCCTGAGGCCGTCTTGGGGGCCTCCTGGGCTGGCTTTGGGGCCTCTTGGGCCGTCGGGTTCCGTCAGCCCCACAGGCCGACCCTTTTGGGCCTTCTTGGGCCCTCTTGTGTCTCTCTTGGGCAGTCTTGGGGCTCCTCGGGGGCGTCTGGGGCACTGTGAAGACGAAGCAAGGGAGTATGCTGAAAGGAACGGGCTGAATTTTGCCTCTTGACTCTTGAAGGCCCTCTTGGGGTCCTCTTCGGCCATCTTCAAGCCATCTCGGGCCCTCTGGGGCCTCGCTGAGGCTGTCTTGTGGGCCTCTTGGGCGTCCTGGGAACCCGGAAATCATGTTCCCGGAGAGGCTTCCGGGAACATGATTTCGAACGAGGCCCTCTTGGGCCTCCCTGAGGCCGTCTTGGGGGCCTCTTGGGCCGGCTTCGGGGCCTCTTGGGCCGTCTTGGGGGGTTCCGTGAGCCCCACGGGACGATCTTTTCGGGCCGTCTGCGGCCCTCTTGGGTCTCTCTTGGGCTAACTTGGGGCTCCGCGGGGGCGTCTGGGGCACTGCGAAGACGAAGCCAGCGAGCATGCCGAAAATGTACGTTTTACGAAAGGAATGGGCCGATGTTTGCCTCTTGAAGGCCCTCTTGGGGCCCTCACGGACCCTCTTAGGGCGCCCCCCGGCGTCTTCGGGGCCCCTCGAGGCCCCCCCGACCACCCGCACGGCCCGCGCGGCCTGTCGCGGGCAACCCGGAAGCGGCCCGGGGCAGTCCTGGGGGGTCTGTGACCCCCCAAAGGTTCGGGGGGGCGGCCATGGGGGATGATGGCACCGATTGTGGTCCCCCTCCAGCCTACTCATATATCTCTCTATATACATATATACACATATATATATAGACACCTATATATATACACACACATACATACATACATACATACATGCATGCATGCATGCATGCATGCATACATACATACATACATACATACGTACGTACGTGCGTACGTGCATGCATGCATGCATGCATGCATGCATGCATGCATGCATGCATGCATGCATGCAGACAGACAGACAGACAGACAGACAGACAGACAGACAGACAGACAGACAGACAGACATATACATACATGTACACATACATGTACACATACATACATACATACATACCCGCCTACCTATCGACCTACATACATACATAATTACATTCATGAATACATACATGCATACATACACACATGTCATACATGCAGTCACTCGTACATGCACATACAGACATGCATACATGCATGCATACATACAGGCAGACAGACAGACAGACACGCAGTCATACATACATACCTGCATATATGCATATATACATACATACATACATCCATACATACATACATGCATGCATGCATACATACATAGTTACATCAATACATGCATGCGTACATGCATGCATGCAAACATACATACATACCTACATGCACACACATGTACACACATACATACATACATACATACATACATACATACATACATACATACATACATACATACATGCATGCATGCATGCATGCATGCATGCATGCATACATACATACATACATACATACATGCGTGCGTGCGTGCGTGCGTGCGTGCGTGCGTGCGTGCGTGCGTGCGTGCATGCATGCATGCATGCATGCATGCATGCATGCATATACACACATACGTCCATACACAAATGAATGTATGCATGCATGCCGACAGACAGACAGACAGACAGACAGACAGACAGACAGACAGACATGCATGCACATATACATGCATACATATGGACAGGACGGTATAGGGCGTGATACATATACATACATATATAAGAGACGAGAAGAGAAGAGAGAGAGAGAGGGAGAACACAAGAGAGAGAGAGAGAGAAAAAAAGAAAGAGCGAGAGAAAGAGAAAAAGGAACAAACAAGAACTAGTGCGAAAGCATCAAAATCCACTGATTGGGGGTTCTCTCTGGTGCAATGAAGAATACAAGAAGGGGAAAGGCGCTGGGGGAGGTTCGAGGGCGCAAAAGAAAGAAGAAGGGAGACGGGAGGGAAACAGAATGGCTGGGGGCAACAGGGACCAGGTGTGGGAGGGGGCAAGTGATGAGAGGAGCGACGCATACATATAAATAAGAGAAGAGAAGAGAAGAGAAGAGAAGAGAAGAGAAGAGAAGAGAAGAGAAGAGAAGATAAGAGAAGAGAAGAGAGAGAGAGGGAGAAAACAAAAGAGAGAGAGAGAGAGAAAGAGCGAGAGAAAGAGAAAAATGAACAAACAAGAACTAGTGCGAAAGTATCAAAACCACTGATTGAGGGTTCTCTCTGGTGCAGTGAAGAATACAAGAAGGGGAAAGGCGCTGGAGGAGGTTCGAGGGCGCAAAAGAAAGAAGAAGGGAGACGGGAGGGAAACAGAATGGCTGGGGGCAACAGGGACCAGGTGTGAGAGGGGGCAAATGATGAGAGGAGCGACGTCGCAGCCGGAGAATGGAAGAGGAGATCGCAGCAAGACGCCAGAGGGGGAGAGGGAGAAAAAGGATACGGGGAGAAAAAGCAACACCGTACAAAATCACGACCAGAGCCCTAGACCCCATCTTTCTGCCGCATTTTTCGAGCAGGATCGATCTGCGAGGGTCCTGGGGTCCGAAACAGGGCAAAATCCCCCGGTGCGAAAAAGCTGCGACACCAGGATCTCAGGGAGGGGGCGAGAAAGCGAAAGGGTGCAGCGCACCCTCGGCAGCGCAGCTCCTTCGTCACGCGGCCGGCGCCCGAGCCTATGTCCAGGGCGCGGCGGGCTCTGGCAGCACCTGAGGAAGAGGCCAGGATGCTGCCAATGCCACCAATCGGCGGAAGAGGCGGCAGCAGCCCCAAGGTGGGAGGCCTAGAAAATGGCACCAAGACCAACACATGTGGTTGCCTCCACAGGGGGAAGACGATCCTCGATTTCGGTGTTGGTGGTGATATTTAGGTCACCTTGGAAGCCAGACTATTACCACCATCACCGAGATCGGGATCTTCTCCCCCCTCGGCGTAGGCACACCGCCGATATTGTTGTTGGTGTCAACCTCTAGGCCTGCGACAAGGGGTGGGGACCTCTGGGGCCGCGGATTGAAAAATTCAGATCGGCGGGTGTCAGGGCAATCCTCTCGTGTCCCCGAGGAAGGAAAGGCAGGGCCCCGCAGGGTGCGCATCTGGGCACAGAGAGGCAACGTTGCAAGTGGAGCTTCGGCATCGATTCCTGGGAACGCGCGGGTGGTCGTGGCACCTCTGCCCCAACCCCACAACCACATGCCCGCGGGGGGTACACCCGCGACCCCTGCCTTGCGGGCGGCCTCGGTACACTGCAACGCTAAAACGCAGGCTGGAGGCTTGGGAGGATCAAGCTATGCCGTCCGTGCGAGGCCACCCACACCGGCTGGAGACGTTCGCCAGACAAGCACTAGAGCCTGCCAACAACACCAGAACACGCACTGCCGAACAGCGCCAGCCCACCAAGTCCACCTGCGCCCCGACACAGCAGCGCCAGAACACCACGAGCACCAACACGAACGTCAGCGTCGCCCCTGCCCGTCGCAACCTGCACACGACTGACCACGATCAACTACGCCGGCACAGACGTTCAAACCCCAACGACCAACCGCCGCGCGTTGGTAGATTCCGACCGCTTGCACAGAACTAGCCGCGGCCAGCCCTGGCGCTGCCACAAATCGCATCACTGGGGGTCTACCACACACGTGAGCAACGAAAAGAGACGAGTTTTTGCGAGAGATTGCAGAGCGACCTTGCGCGGTGCCTTACGCGGGCCGCCGGCGTGGCACGCCACATTGGAAACGACGGCGCTTACGCGACCTTACGCGGGCAGCTTGCGCGCCAATGTCGGTGCAAACGACTCTGTTTTCTGCGTCGCCCACATGGTATGGCCCGTTCTTTGGTAGCGCCGTCTGGCTTGGCCATGGGCCATCCCTCGCCCCGCCAACATCAAGAGGCAACTCCTGGGAGGTCTTCGCAAAAACGACGAACCGACCATTGAGCCCCATTGAGCCAGAGCAAGCCGGATGAAGCCAATGTTGAACCACATTGAGCAGGAGTAGACAGGATGAAGCAGGATATTGCCAGCGATACTGATTTAACCTCCAAAGAATGCATCCTACCCTGCACGTCCCTGCATGGTCCCCGCAGGTCGCACCCGCCACCCAAGCGTTTGTCGCCGCCGCTCGTGGACATGTCGCGGGGGCTCCCCGGCCACTGTGAAGATGCTGAACTACACTATCAATGCCTCACTGTCCTGGAACTTTGCTATGTTCTTGCTCGCCAAAGCATTTGACACGTGCGCGGAGCTACACGGTCAATGCCACACACTGCCTAACGCGGAGAAAAGCTTGAAAGATCCATCCAACAAAATGGCCGCTCGGACAGCGAACGCCCACGTCCGCTGGGAGGAGAAAAGGAAGACGCACGACTGCAAATCCCGTGAGACGAGAGGGGGAACGCGCATCCTCCAAGCCTTTCGGAAGATGCGCGACTGCCGAGTCCTCTTGGAAGAAGTGGGGCAGGGGGGGAGAGGAAGACGAGGGGGACGGCAGGGGACGGAGGAGGAGGAGGTGAAGGAGTGGATATTGGAAGGGGGGAGGAGACGCTCTGAAACGTCACCCGGCGATGGCGCCTGGAGACGTCCCCGCGTGGTGTGGCCAGGATGGGTCATGCGCCGACCATGCGCCCACGATGATGAAACTCCTCCTCCTCCTCCTACTCCGCCTCCTCCTCCTCCTCCTCCTCCTCCCTCCTCCCTTCTCCTCCTCCTCCTCCTCCTCCTCCTCGCCTTTGACAGACAGCCCTTCATGGTTTCTGTCGCTTCGCCTCGGGCTGGATGGACCCCGCGACTTGAGAAGGCGGCACAGTAGCCCAATGGCTCGTCATTGTTCCACCCTGTCCTCCTGTGTCCTTGTTTTGTATTCTCCCAGCCCTCCTCTTGCCAAGCCCTCGGAGCTGAACGAAGCAACGACGGTCACGAATTTCGGCGTGCGCGCACGCTGCGCAAAAGCCTTCCACGTGCGTCGAAGCAGCGTGTCCATTGCCGATGGGAAGTAAGCAACGTCCCATGGTGAATCTTTGGAAGGAGTAGGTTCAGAAGGGAATTGAACACCATGCTGCCCATTCCGTTCTAAGGAGAGGAGGCACAAGCCATCGTGCCCAGGAATCACGCAAGCTATCACCCAACTCCCCCAGCCTTGCTTTGCACTTACGCTTTTGCGTCACTCCCCATCCAATTCGTGTTGTCGGGACTCTGACGGGGGGCATGATGCAGTGTGTGGTTGTTACTGGGGCGACTAGTTGGGGCACCAAAAACGTGTGGCGACGGACTGCGCGGTGATCTCGGGTCCCCCAACGACCTCACCGCGCGGTTTGTCACCGCACGGTTTTGGGTCCTCGGAAACCCCAATCGCCCCAGACATCCTCGCAGGACGACCCGAGTCCCAAAACCGTGCGGTGACCCCGAATCCCCACTGACACACCACGCGGCGTGGTCACCATGCCATTTGAGGACCCCTGAGATTCAGCTGATGTGCACCACCGCGTCTCCCCTCTCCTCCTCGCCCGGTCCGATCGCGCCAGCTCGTCGCAGGATCGGCTTGGCGTCTCACTGTTCTCGACCGTTCCTCCTCATCTGCCCGGTTCTGTGAGAGGGCTCCCAGATGGGGTCCGAACAGATGGGGTCGGAGGATCGCGTCGGCAAAGCATCGGCAGTGGACCGGCAATGAACCAGCGATGCATCGGCAACGCATCGGCAATGCATCGGCGTCGTGGGCGTGGGGTAAAGAGTCTGGCTCCACATCGAGCCGCACCGTCGATGCATCGGCGCTGCGGAGCGATCCTTCGACCCCCACCTGCTCGGCCCCAACTTAGGAGGCCCAGACCAGCTCTGCACAGGATTGCAAAAAAACCGAAGGATTGCAAAAAAACCCTGGTTTTTGCAAAAAAAACAGGATTGCAACAAAAAAAAAAAAACAGGATTGCAATCCAGGGTTTTTTTGCAATCCTGGGTTTTTTTGCAATCCTGGGCTTTTTGCAATCCTTCGTTTTTTTTGCAATCCTCCCGATCCCGTCCTCCGGGTGTCGGGAAGGCGCCGCCGTCGCGGGTTCGAGCCCCGACCCTCGGCTGCTCGACAGCCTGCTGCTTCGACTCCGGGCGAGGACGGCCCTCGCGCGCACGCCGCGAGCAGCAGGGAGGGGCTCTGCTTGAAGGATTGCAACGAAGGATTGCAAAAAAAACCCTGGAACGAAGGGTTTTTTTGCAATCCTTCGTTCTGGAAGGGTTTTGTTTGCAATCCTGGGTTTTTTGCAATCCTTCGTTTTTTTTGCAATCCTGGGTTTTTTTGCAATCCTTCTCTCTCTGCCACCCGGAGGGTTGGCTCCGGATTCCTCTCTCTCTCTCTCTCTCTCCCCCTCTTCGCGATTGCCTCCTCGCCTCATGGCCACTGTCAGGGGCATGGCTCGGGAGCGCAGGAGAGCCCAGGATCGCATCGACAAGTCGGAACGGCGATCGAAACGAATCGGATCGAGGGAAATCGGCAGCCAAAGCGGGAGAAGGCGAATCGGCGGTCTCCATTGAGAAACCAGGAGCCAAATCGGAACCCGAAGTCAGATCGAATCGAAATCGGAACCGATCGAAATCGATTCGAATCGAGTCGGAGCAGGCGAAATGAGCTCTGTCAGGGTCCTGGCTGGGGAACGGGTGGCTTGCTTCGCGGGGCGGGATATACATGCTAGAACCTGCCCCCCCCCCCCGCCCGCGGAGCAGCAGCACCGCCTCGAGGAAAACGGAAAACCTCCGTCAGGCCCCGCGTCGGAGGTGCTGACCCCCGCGTTCGTTGCAAATCTCGGACTCGCCAGGTTCCCGACCGGCTTCCTTCTCCCTCTCGTTCTCCTCGTCTCCTATGCCACCCTGCACACCCTCCGCACACCTCCCTCCCTCTCCATCCCTCCCTCCCATATCATCCTCCTCCTCTTCCTCCTCCCCCTCCTCCTTCTTCTCTTCCCTTCAGCCTCAGGACGAGAGAGGAACGGAACCTCTCCCTCTCCAGTCATCGACCAGTGGCTTCGCCGAGCTGGGTAAGTGCTCGAACCGAATTTCCGACGACCGCGCGGCAGAGCAGAACCAGCCAGGGGCAGGCACCCGAGTTCTGGCCTCGCCCCGAAGCTCGGGTGTGTATGATCCCGTCCGCCACGAGCTGGTTCATGAAAACCTCGCGAGGAGGGAACAGAGGACGAGTGGACGGCGGAACGTGAGAAGGGAAGGGTAGGAGGAAGGAGGAGCCGGGAAAGGAAAGCACAGCCCCGGCGCGGAGAGTCAGGCAAAGCAAACTGTGAAGCCTGCACATTGTCCTGCTCCTCCTCCTCATTCTCCTCCTCCTCCTCCACCTCCTCATCATCATCCTCCTCCTCCTCCTGCCCTTCCTCCGCCTCCTCCTCCCCCTCCTCCTCCTCCTCCTCCTCCTCCTCCTCCTCCTCCTCCTCCTCCTCCTCCTCTCCCTCCTCCCTCCCTCCCTCCCTCCCTCCTCCCTCCCTCCCTCCCTCCCTCCTCCCTCCCTCCCCCTCCTCCTCCCTCCCTCCTCCCTCCCCCTCCCCCTCCCCCTCCCCCTCCCCTCCCCCTCCTCCTCCCCCCCCTCCTCCTGCCCCCCTCTCCTCTCCTCCTCCTCCCTCCTCCTCCTCCTCCTCCTCCTCCTCCTCCTCCTCCACCACCGACCCATGGGCGCCAGAGTTGGACCCCCTCCCCCTTCGCCAAGGGGACCTGTGGGGACGCAGGGGTGGCTTCGAATTGAAAAATATGATTTACACCTAGGGCGGCGAGTTAAAATCCGGCACAGCATTAGAGGAGGAGGAAGAGGCGGAGTAGGAGGAGGAGGAGGCAGGGGGGGAACGGGGGACGGGGGGCGGATACTTCGGGGTGTCGTCATCTTTGTGGTCGGCCCCTTGCGTCGCTGCCGCAACTGCTGCTGCTGCTGCAGCAGCAGCAACTGCTGCTGTTGCATCTACACTGCTACAGCTCCTGCATCTTCTCTTGTTGCTGATGAGGATTGGCGGGCGTCGCGAGCCCTCCTCCTCCTCCGCCTCCTCCTCCTCCTCCTCCTGCTCCTGCTCCTCCTCCTCCTCGTCCATTAAATGTCCTGGTGAATAACTTTTGCCTGTCGCACCCAGAGGCCAGTTTTTTGGGGCAGGTCGGGCGCTTCGCCTGAGGCTTCGTGGCCAACTATGACCCTGAAGAAAAGTTTGTACAAGTTTCACCGATGGAGGGCGGGTCGTTTTCAAACTGTGGCCCTCGCCTTAGCGCCGCGCACATTCATATTTAAAAGCTGCAAGACCTTCACGGATTGAGGTGGGCCATGTTCGAAGTGTGGTTTTCGCCTTAGCGTTGCGCGCATTCGCAACAATCACAAGACTTTCACGGATTCAGCGCGGCTCCTTTTCAAAATGTAGCTCTCGCTTTAGCGCCGCGCACACTCGTTTAGCACAAATTGCAAGAACTTCACGGAGTGAGGGCGGTTCCTTTTCAAACTGTGGCTCTCGCCTTAGCGCCGCGCACATTCGGTAAATTACACCAAAATCATGGGTTCCCATTTTCAACGTACCAGACATGGTGTTCTGGAAAAGGTTCAGGATTGTGAGGGCGCAGCAGGTACGTCGAGTCGCGGTGTTGAAATCCAAACGCAACAGTCAGGTTGTTCCGTGGCGTTGGAATCCCAAGACTATGTTTTGGCGTGCCCCAGAATATTCAAACGATTGTCTTCCAACGAGGCAGTTCCCTCATTGGAAAAGAACCGCTGTAGGGGCCTATCTAGAGGAAGCTTGGAGGGAGGGTATCTTCCAACATCGTTGATGGCCCTTGGGTTCACACTGGTCCTCTTCCTCCTCCTCCTCCTCCTCCTCCTCCTCCTCCTCCTCCTCCTCCTCCTCCTCCTCCTCCTCACCCTCATGATGCGTGAGCTGATGGAGTGCGCCATGGACTTCCCCATTCAGCTATCCAGCACGCACAAACAAAGACATGAGCGGGAACGGGTTCGAGGCAGAGGGGCAGGGCCTCCTCAGAAGGCTCACGCGGGGGAAAGCTCATACAAATAAATGTGTAGATCCCCACAACAGATTTTGTTTCAAGGCCACACGCTGACAATCAACACGTAAGCCTGCACAAAATGATGTCGAGTGCATCGCACACACTAGGAATCAATTTGTAGTTCCCCACAACGGGACTTTACTTGAACACTGCACACGAGGGATAAACTTGTACATGCGTAAGAATCTACACAAACACATGTTAATGTTGCTTCCAGGTTGCATGTTTGTCTGTTTGGTTTACAACAAAACCCCATTTTACACATAAAAACAAAGCGCTGTTGGTCCCCCAAGCTGTCGTGATTGTATTGTTTGTCGTGTTATCAACCATCCTTTGGGGTTGGGTGCTCGTTTTGAGGAGACAGCACCCCGCATTCCTTCCTCCTCCCGCTGCCCCCCTCCTTTTCCCCGTCATCACAATCGTCATTCTCATCACCATCGTCCATCATCCATCAACATCATCATATACAGCATCATCGTCATCCACATATTCATCATTATCATCAGCATCATCATCATCATCATCAGCATCATCATCATCATCATCATCATCACCAACATCATCACCATCATAATCATCATCATCGTCATCACCACCACCACCATCATCATCATCATCATCATCATCATCAGCATCATCATCATCATCATCATCATCATCATCATCATCATCATCGTGGTCGTCATCCTCATCGTCCCCACCACCCATGTCGGCACACCCCTCACACGCTTCGGGGCCCCATTGGGAACCATCCCATTTGAAACACCCCTCACGCTCTTCGTGGCCCCATAGGGAGCTCCTCTTAGGGTCCCAGTGGCGCAGTTCGCATGGCGGCGCCGCCCCATTTTGGCACACCCCTCACACGCTTCGTGGCCCCATGCGGAGCTCCTCCCAAGGTCCCAGTGGCGCAGTTCGCACGGTGGCGCCGACCCATTTTGGCACACCCCTCACACGTTTCGAGCTCCAACTGAGGTCCAAGTGGCGCAGTCCGCATAGCCCCGAGGCATTCTTTCTCTCGGCCCCGTGGACTCTCGCCTTGGGCCGTCGGCTGTCCGGCGCGCTGCCCCCTCGGCCGACATCGCCCAGTCGTGATCCTGGACTGCGGCCGCCGCGAGGTCGGGAACAGCATGCAGGAAGACGACGACGGGTGGCTGGAGTTATACGCGCTGCCCTCGCGCGCCACGCGCCAAGAGGACCTCCTGCTCGCGCGGGCGCCGCGCGTCGAAATCTTCCCGGCAGGGCCGCCGGAGGGCTTGCGGAAGCAGCTGTACCAGTTTGCCGCTCGCACGAAGCGGCGCAAAAGGGGGGCGACGGCCCTCGCCAGGGAGCTGGGCTTCACCGAGTTTAGCCGCGAAGCTTGACCTGAGGAGCGACCCGCCCGAACCTCGCAGTCTCTCGGCGGCCTGACTGTTTGGCCTCGCGCCGCGGGCGACCCGCGCGCGTCGCTGGGGCCCTCTCGGGGCGACCAGCGCGCGTCGCGGGAACTCCATGCTGCACTCTGCCCGGCGCCTCGCTCGCCCCCGTCGTCGCCCTGCCCAGCAGCCAGAGACACGCTCGCTATCAGCCGGCATGCTAGCTCTCTCTGCCCAGCGCAGCGGGCGACCCGCGCGCGTCGCCAGGACCCCTTCGGAGCGACCAGCGCGCGTCGCGGGGACTCCGCGTGGCGCCGCGCCCGCAGCCTTGGACATCGGCGCGCGCGGGCAAAGCGGGAGAAAATGAACGGGGGGGAAGCAGGCGCGATCCTCGCGAAGGGCCTGCCGACGCGGGCGTCCACATTTATGCACGTAGACTCACGCGCGCGCAGAATCATTCACAATCAGACTCACTCGCGCTCACACTCACCCGCTCTCAGTCTCTCGCAGACTTACCTATCGTCTTTGTTCGCGTTGCGTGCCCCGCCACGCATGTCGGCACGCCCCTCTCACGGTCCGTGGCCCCACAGGGAGCGCGGGCGAAGATGGCATTCATCATTGCGGCATTCACAACTGCATATGGCTGGGTCCTTCCATCCACAAGGCTCGACGCCATGGCGCGCCCCAAGTTCATCACAATCGGCCCGGAGAGATACTACGAATGGAAACTACATCGACAAGCAAGTCCAACGCTGACTCCAAGGCAATGCGCTCAGCAATGAAGCTGTGGTCGCCCCGTGTATACGGATTCTTGCATGACCCAGCATGGTATACACCCACGAGCCCCCTTGACGTCGAATGGCGTATAACACCCATGCTGCAGATGCCCGGTCCTTCGCTGCACGGTAACCACCATCGCTATAAATGCGTAAGGTGCCACCTCTCATCACATGCTCTCGTAACCTCCAGGATTGCGAAGTATTCATTGCAACGATGGCCAAATGGTCCGCTTGAGCGTTGAATGCACGAGGTCTCCATTCTATCATATCTACCCAAGGTACTCTGCTTGTCCATCCTCCCGCCAGCAACTGCTCCAAGCGACAGGCCATTCGAATAAACGAAGGTCGGTGCTCCTCTGTAGCTGCGACGGCCACGCCATTCAACAGGTCGGCCAACAGTCTGCAATCCACCACTACACTCAAGCACCCGCTACTTTCACCCCACTGGTTGTCGTCTGGGTGGTGTGCCATTGGCGGCAAATTCTCCAGACTTTCAAAACGTTGTTGAAGATGATCTACCAAATTGAGCGGGACTCGCTCGTCCGACTCCTGCAGGAACGGGAGGGACCATTTGCGGCACACGGCATTGACGAACTGAGGACTGTGTTTCTTCCAGGCCGGCATGTTTCTGTAGGTTGCTCTGCGGCTCCCCCAGTCAGCGCCCCATAGTCCCACAAAGACGTCTTCCCAAAATTGTCGATGCCCTGACCTCGCCTGCATGAGCCCTTCTCGCCGTCGGGCGCGATCTCCAAAGGCTTTCATAAACTGCCAGTCAAGAGCATTCCGGTGTTCCCGAGCACAACGAAGAGGCGCGTGATCATTGGGTAATTGAAAACCGACTTCTCGCCAAGCGCTCATGTACACCATGGTCAAGACCTGGTGGTGCAGCATGGGTATACCGGTCAACTTGAACCATCGGGTGACTTGTCCAACTGAACGGATCCTAAACGCTCCCCGTTGTTCCTCTGGGTGCGGGCGAAGTTTGAACATGCGCCTCAAATTGGAAATTTCCCGTCTTCAACTTTTCCAGGATACCCTGTGTGAGCCCGAAAGAAGCGGTAGCCTGGGGCGCAGGTGCCCATGCCGCGAGACGAGCCGGGATACCCCCTCGCCCTTGCAGAAGAGAACGATGCTTGTAGAACCCCCCGTCGCCAAGGCCCAGCCGGTGTTCAACGCTGCGTGCGGTCGTCCCCGAAACGTCCAACAGCACTCCCAAGCACTCTATGTACTCCAAGTGCGTAAACTCCAGGCTGCTTTCCGGCACTGTCGAAGTTGTCAGGGAGATACACTCCGCAGCAGCCGCCCCGTACGCCATGCACTGCACTGCCTTCGCCTGGATAATTGTTCTTTTCGTCGGCCAGGCCCCCACCCCCCTCCCTCTGAACCAAGCACACAAGTATTCGATTTGAAGGCCGCACAATATACATTGAGTCGTAAGCCTGCACAAAAGGATGTTGGTTGTATTGTACACGTTAGGAATCAATGTGTAGATATCCACCGTAGGAATCAATGCGCAAGCTTGCACAACAGGATCTCGAGTGTAGCGTACCAATTCGGAATTAGTTCGTGGATCCCCAACGAAGGATTTTATTTGAAGGGCGCGCATTAAGAATCAACATGTACATGCGTATAAAACGAAACAAAAACAGTTCGTCGTTGCTTCCAGGTTGGGTTGTTCCCAACCATCCTGTGGTGTTGGGTCCTCGATTTGAAGAGACAGTGCCCCGCGTTTTCCTTCCTTCCTCCTCCCCCTCCTACCTCCTTTTCCTTCTCCGATCCCTGCCTCTGCCCTCCGAGCCAGTCAACCATTTTGGCACACCCCTCACACGTGGCGTGGCCCCATAGGGAGCCCCACCGAAGGCCCGAATTCCAGCGTTCGCATGACCCCATCGCACCCATTGAGGCACACCCCTTCACACGCCGCGTGGCACCAAAGGGAACCCCACCGAAGGCCCGAATGCCAGCGCTCGCATGCGCCCACCGAGCCCATCTTGGCACACCCGTTTCATGGCCCCACGGGGAGCCCTTCCGAAAGCCCAAGTGCCAGCGTTCGCATGCGCACCCCGCACCTGTTTTGGCTCACCCCTCACGCGCTTCGGGGCCCCACAAGGAGCCCCATCGAAGGCCCGAGTGCCAGCGTTCGCATGCGCCCACCGCACCCACTGTGGCACGCCCAGGAGGTGCGAGAGTCCCTGGTCCCAGGGCTGTCGTGGTGTCAGGGGTTGTAGTCGTCGAGCGGGGGCGGCGGGGGGGGCGGGCTCGCACGCGAGGGGAGGGAGAAAGTGGGGGAGGAGGGGGGAGAAAGGGGAGAGGAGGGGGGGGAGGAGGGAAGGAGGGGGAGGGGAGAGAGAGAGAGAGAGAAAGAGAGAGGGGGGAGGGGGGGGAGGGGGGGAAGGAGGGGGGGAGGGAGGGGGCGAGAGGGGGCGGGGGGGAGGACAAGCTAGGTGCGCTCGCGTCATATCTGATATCCTACCCCTCCCTCCCATCCCTTACCATGGCGCAGATCCCCTCTCTACTCGCACAGTCGGATGTCGAGCAGGGCAATGATCCCAAAAGGGTACGCGATGCATTGTAGAGCACGGCATGGCACGGCGTAGAAGAGCACCGCGAAGCGTAGTATCAACCTAGCATTGCATTGCATGCCGTGACATGGCACAGGAAATGACGCCAGCGCTGCAGCGGGAGCAGGAGTCGAAACGAACGGAAGCGCGGAAATGAGGCCAGCGCTGCAGTGGGAGCACGATTCGGAACGAGCGGAAGCACGCAGGAATCGGCCCGGGAGGCTTCCAGGGCGCCAAAGCAGAAATTCAACATTTTCAAAAGGAAGATGTGTTTTGGAATGGCCTTGAGTCGGCGCCGCCTCGGAACTCGATTTTCCGGCGCCGGCCGGAACCGGCTCCGGACCCGGCCCGGGCGCCGGCCCAGGCGCTGGCTCGGGCGTCCGGCCCAAGCGCCGTCTCGGGCGCCAGCCCGGGCGTCGGAATCGGCCAGAGAGGCTTCCCTGGCGCCAGAAGCAGACTTTCAGCATTTTCAAAAAAAAAAAAATGTATTAGAATGGCATTTTTTCGGCGCCGCATCGGAACTCGATTTTCCGGCGGCGGCCGGAACCAGCTCCAGAACTGGCCCGAGCGCCGGCCCGGGCGCCGGCTCGGGCGTGCAGTCCGGGCGCCAGCGGAAATCATGCCAGCGCTGCAGCGGGAGCACGATTCGGAACGAGCGGGGCCCGAAAATGAGGCCGGCGCCTCAGCGAGAGCAGCATTCTGGTAGGAAAAAAAAACAACGCAGGCGAAAACCCAACTCCCGGGAATCCTGTGCAAAAAAACAATACGCGGGGGGGGGTCGGCTACTTTCAGGCCGCCATCGGGGGAAGAGGGAGAGTAGCATTCAAATTGAGTAATTGTAAAGAGAGAGGGGGGGAGGGGGGGAGGGGAGGAAGGAGGGGGGGGAGGGAGGGGCCAAGAGGGGGAGGGGGGGAGGAAGAGGGGGGAGGAAGGGGGAGGAGGGGAGGAGCCAGCAACGCTCCCCGGGAGGCGGGCAGTCGCCGGAGGCCTTGGAGGCCTGCACGTCCCCGTCCGGGTCGTCGACGCCGCTGGCGGCCTCCGCGTCGCCCCTGCGCCCGACCTGGGTGTGCGCCGCGGTTGCTGGCGTCGGCCATGTCTCGTGTTAGGTCGGACCTGTCCCATGCAGGGGGGTTTAGACAAACACTTAAACAATACCAGAAAATAATCACTCATAGTTTCTATGCTTGTTTTTGAACAAAAAATCAAGCCATGGTCCCCCGACTATGTTTTACTATCTTGTGATACTCCTCCTGTAGGGGGACAGGCCCGACTGAAGTCTCGTGCCCTCCGCCCCCCCGCGCCTGGAGGAAAGAGGACCACCCCAAATCTCCGAGGCTCTGGCTCCCTCCTGCCTGGCCGCGTCTCCTCCGCTTCGGGCTCCGGGGCCCGCGGTCGGGCCCGGGAGCACTCCACCAAAAAGCTGCTCCGCGGGGCAAAAGACTGCCCCCGCTGGGAAGGGGCCGAGGCCTCGGGGGCCGCGGCTTGAAAAAAAAAATCGTGCCCTCGTCCACCTCTGAAGAAGCCCTAGGACACACAAGTAGATACACACAGATAAAAAGATTCCCCCATACTTTCCCATATGTTCTGGGTGTCTGTCTTCCCCCCCACTTCCCATAGTTTCCCATACTTTTCTGGGGAATCGAGGATTAATTGTGTCTGTGTGCTTCTTTTCCTCCTGAACCTCGTCCGGGGGAAAGCGACCCATGCGGTCCGAGAATCGTGTGATGACAGACCGCGCGGTGACCTCGAGAAGCCTCAGGAGGCCTCACAGCGCGGCCCGTCACCGCACGGCCTCGGGACCCTGGAGGCCCCCGTCTCTCGAGCAGCCCTCGGAGAGCGAGAAGCCGCGCGGCGACCTCGAATCCCCAACGACTCACCACCTCGCCATCGCTTGGACGTCCATTCCCTGTGCTTTTTTCGGTTTCGTGCGTGGTTGTTTCGCCAAATGATCAAGGATGCTCCTCGATTGTCCTCGCCGAAGGAAAAATGCATAAGTCCGAGCGATGCCTAGCCACGCGGCGTGGCTGTCACACCGTCTGGGGGCCACCCGAACCTGGGCGCACTCCTTGCGTCGGCGGCTAGGCAGAGTCCCTGCGCTGGGGAGAGAAGCGTGGCGTGTGGCGCACGGAGCGCAAATTTTAGACCACCATGCAGGAGGAGGAGGAGGAGGAGGAGGAGGAGGAGGAGGAGGAGGAGGAGGAGGGGGAGGAGGAGAAGGAGGAGGAGGAGGGAGGAGGAAGAGGGGGAGGAGGAGGAGGGGGAGAGGAGGAGGGGGAGGAGGGGGAGGGGGAGGAGGAGGGGGAGGCGCCCGGCGGCGGCGAAGGGCGAGGGAGGAGCCGGACCCGCTCAAGCCCGAGCCTGGGCACACGCACCCGCCCTGGCCATGCCCGCCCTGGACGCAGGATCGGTGCGCAGGCCTTACCGGCTCGGCCCAGGAGGCACACGCGTCGGCCCCCGCGGTCCAGGACGGGCCCGCGGCCAGGATCGGTGCACGTGCACGGCTCGCTTCGCCCAGCGCTTCCCCTGTCCTCGCCTCCTCCCCTGGGAGCCTCTTGGGCTGTCTTCGGGCCCTCTTGGGGCCGTGCCGAGGCCGTCTTGGGCCCATATTGTGCCGTCTCGGAGACCTCCTGGTTCTTGGGCCATGTTGCGCCAGCCCTCTTGGGCCGTCCTGGGGCCCGTGATCTGTCTTGGGCCCTCCCTGGGACCCAGTTGGGGCTCTTCTGGGCCGACTAGGAGTGAGCTCGGGGGCCTCTTAGCCCGTCGTGGGCGCCCTGAGAAGCGGAAAAGCAAATATACGAGAATCATGCAACACCAAATGGAAACATAATTATGTTTGTCTCCTGGGGAAGCTCTGAATGGAGCTCATCCTGCCCCCTGGTCCTGTCAGGGCGGGCATTGGAGCCGCCTCGCAAGCGGTCTTGGAGATCTTCGAGCCGCTGGTGGGCCGCTCTTGTTTCTTATTGGAGCTCCCCCGAATTAATTTGGGCGGCCAGGAGGCTCATGAGGGGAAGCTTCAAAAGTCGCCCCACGAGGCGCTCGAGAAGAATGCCAACAGACCACGAATCAGAGATGTTCAAGAAGCCTCTGGCCCAAAACTCAGGCACGGTTGCAGTATGGGCCGCAGGCCGTGGATAAGCAAGCAACTGGCCTGGCGACAGACCCATCCCTATGCGGTCATGTATGGCACAGAGCGCAAGTCTCTCTTCATACACTGCGCGCCGCGGGGCAACGCGGAAAGCGGGCTGCTGCGGAGCACGTGTGCACCAGCGCGCTGAAGTCCTTGCGGGGCACGATCAGCGTGAAGGGTGTGCCGAATAATGCGGATGGCCTCGCACGAACACGCCCATTGAGGCCGCAGGTGGAGCAACTCTGGGCATGTGCTCGCTTAGGTTCTAGAATGTTCTGGTTGCGGCTTCGGAGGAAATATAGTGTCGAACGGAGCGTGCCCCGCAAGGAGCTCTATTCCTCGGCTATCCTGAAGAGTCGCGTGCTACCTTAGGTATGTTAGCTATTCGGCCGTCCGTCAGTCAGTCAGTCAGTCGGTCAGTCAGTCATCATCATCAGCAGCATCAGCATCGTCATCATCAGCATCATCATCAGCATCATCAGCATCATCAGCATCAGCAGCATCATCATCATCATCATCATCATCATCATCATCATCATCATCATCATCATCATCATCTCATCATCATCATGATCATCATCATCATCATCATCATCATCATCATCATCATCATCATCATCATCATCATCATCATCATCATCATCATCATCATCTTCATCATCTTCATCATCATCATCATCATCATCAGCATCATCATCATCATCCATCATCATCATAATCCTCATTGTAATCATCATCATCAGAAGCAGCCACAGCAGCAGCATCATCATAATCGTCATCGTCATCAGCATCATCATCATCGTCAGCATCAGCAGCATAATCAGCATCATCGTCATCAGCATCATCACCATCATCATCATCAAAGGCATCATCATCGTCATCATCATTTTCATCAGCCCCACCCCCAACCCCCACCACAACCACCACCACCACCACCACCACCACCATCATCATCATCAGCAGCAGCATCAGCATCAGCATCAGCATCAGCATCATCATGATCGTCATCGTCATCGTCATCATCATCATCATCATCATCCTCATCATCATCAGCAGCATCCTCTTCCTCTTCCTCATCCTCCTCCTCATCGCCATCATCATCGGAATCGTCATCGCCATCGTCTAATCGTCATCATCAGTATCATCATCAGCAGCAGCATCAACATGGTCACCGTCACCATCATCATCAGCAGCAGCATCAGAATGATTGTCATCATCAGCATCAGCATCATGATCCTCATCATCGATCACTGGCGCCCTCATAATCATGATCATTATCACCGATCAATGGTATCATCATCATCACCACCTCCACCACCATCATCACCACCGATCATCATCAGCACCGTCGATCCGGATCATCATCCTGATTCTCATCCTCGTCACCACCACAACCATCATCAGATCATCTACACCAGCAGAAGCATCAGCATCATCGTGGGGCATTGTTGGCCACGTGTTGATAGCCGTGCCATCGCGCCAAACTCGTATCATCAGCATCAGCAGCATCATCATCCCCACCAACAACAACGAACATTTCAAGACTGCTCGCTCCTATCTGCTCGCGTCCTACCCAACAGGTATATCCCACATCCTCGGTACCCGCCCGCTTCGTCTTCGATCGTTCCCCTGGGGGGTATAGATTCCTTACCTGCCACGTACATGTGGCGCAGCCCCTACAATAGGGGAAGAGAGGACGGATAAAAGGGGGAGGGAGAAGGATGGAGCACAAAAGAAATTACAAGGAGGTGGGCTTGGAGCAGAAAACACGTGGCACGACCAGACGGGCAGATCGGGCGGGCAAACCCTAGCGGGCGGGTCGGGAAGGCGGGCCCAGGCGGCCAGGTCGATAGTGCGGGTTGCTGAAGCGAGTCCTGCATGAATCGCGAGGAAGACTTGAGCGATAGCACGATTCCCGAGTAAGTCGTGGGACCGTCCAAAGCGAGAGCGTGATTCCTGAGTGTCGAGGGCGCGGCGTCTGAATAAATTGCGAGTAAGTCCAGCGCGAGAGCGCGATGCCTGCATACATTGAAATTTTGCGCGGGGGCTCGATCTTGGAATAACGGATTGTGAGGAAGTATCTGGCTGGAGCCGTTGTTGTTGTTGTCAATGTTGCAGTTCAGTGCCCAACACCCCAGTTTGAGCAGGAAGAACTGCCCGGATAAAAAAGGGTGCGGAAACTGAAGTGGACACGTCAATTCGAAAACATCATGTGCACTGGTGAAGGGGAGATCAACAAGACAACTTTTTCACGAATGAAACAATAACAATAACAACAATAACAACAACAATCACTTTACCCGAACGCTCAGTGTTCTCACCAGTGCCAGGGTTTTCATGCGACGCCAGCCAATACCCCCACTTTGTGGGGGGGCCGGTTCAAGCTCTACCAAATATCCACACGACTCCGGTTCAAGCTCTACCACCAATTCTACCAAACGACTCTTCGCCACCACCCACACCCAGCTTCCCGCCCTATGACGTTCGGACACTTCACTTCGTGGCATGCGGACGACCGTGGCTACTATTCAGGGCCCCGCGGCCGACGACGACGGCGTGCGCGCGCGAAGAAAAAACGAATGTGTCCCGCATGGTATTATTTGACAGGGATGATGGCCCTGGCAGGTGCGCAACCGTTGTCGCAGAAGTTCGAAAAAGTTGCTCGCAAAAGCCCGTTTGACAGAAATGTTTAAAAAGTGTTGGGTTTCCTACGAATCCGCAAGAGCGCGCGGGATGAGATTTTGACATTTTTTTGTTGAAAAACCATTGGTTTTTTGATGTTTTTATGTTAAAATCGCTCCGAACACTAAGCTTTTGGAAGGATTTCGTCTTGCGCGCGCGAATGTCCACTTTACCTTATTTTTTGCAAGGGATTCTTGAAATTTGATTATATTAGAACAAGAAATGTCATTTTATAGTGTTTTTTGCAAGGG